GCAAATAACGAAATAAAGAAAGAACGAAAGTAAGTCGGACAGCGAGATGAGCATCGAAAAACACAAGTGTCTAGGCTAAGGCAAATGAATCAACCACAACCATCCACTTGAGTTGGCAAATTGCGCTCAGCGTGCGTGTGGCTAAGTGGTGTTCTAGGCCTCTAGAACGAGGCTGTTTGGATCAGCGCACCTGCTGAACACCCTGATCCACTATGACACCATTGTTACGCTGAGCCGAAAGGGAAAATAATGAAATGATAGCGAAATGGACTTTCTATTATTTGTTCCTTCTCTTGACTTTCCTTCCTGCTTTTATTCCTGCATTCATTCTCATTGGCATCGAGTCAGTAATTAATTAGAAAATAACAAATCAACAGCAGAAGATTATAGATTATAAGTCATTCTGTCACTGAATCTCTGAGTATATCGATTGATTATCTTTTGGTATACAAAACAAGATAAGAGAAATCAGACTTCATTGTACGGAGAATTTAATTTTAATAAAAATCTTGAAGAACCGATAGTTTTATAAATCACTAACAATTTTTTGCATTGTGACGATCTAAACAAGCCGACTCGTTGCCGTGCAATGTTTAGCGAGTTACCTACTAAATAGATTAGACATCTTTGTGGAAATATTTTGGGGTCAGTTTCGTACAGTTACTTTTGATATCTTACGTGTACGTTTTAATTTGGTCGGCTGTTCGGAAAATGGTTTTACAGTTATATAAAGACAAATTTCAGCAAAATAATTTCTGTTATATCAATATGTGAACATAGCGAAAATTTGAACGATCCTTCTCCAAAATAATTCAATAAAACTGAAAAAATAAAATGTTTTTTTGTGAGCTGGCGCTTTCATAATTTAATAAAACATTATTTTATTTAAAATTGGACAGAAAGAAAAACTACACGTAATATTTATTTAAAAGGAATTACTTTTTCAGAGCGATTTTGAAATTTATCCCTTTGCTGTTCGTAACAAGAGATTTTAATTAAATAAAGACAAGTTTGCAGAATTGAAAAATTTAAAGTTTAATGCTATTTTGTAGTGTTAAGGATTTTTTTTTATTTCATCTTTGCAAGTGTTAGATTATTTTTTGTACGTAAGTCAAAAAAAAAATCTGAATTAGCGTCTTTGATTGCAACTCTTCCGGTAGGAAGTGTAACATTATCTATATATAAAATTCTGTAACTTTCGTTAGTCTGTCAGTCCGTCACACCCTCTAATATAACCATACATTAACCGATAGAAACCAAATTTTGGGGAGAGTACAAACAGTTAAAGAGGTACAAAATACAGATGGCTTTATTAGGGCGCGTATCTCAGTATAATAAAATTTCATTATTGTTTCTGGAAAAATTAAAAGTTTTATTATTAACATACAAATACTCCCACTATTTAAAAAAAAAAACAATTTAATGATTAAAATAACAAATACTCATTTTATAAAAATGAAATACTGTTTTACGCATATCTTTTCTGTAAGTTTCTTTATACAAGAATCCAGTTCGCCCTGCATTTGCGAGAACTATAAATAAATCACCAGGCCAAACCCTTCAAAAATTTGGAATTTGGCTTTAAAAAGCAATATTTACGCATGGTCGGTTGTCTGGTGCATACTCAAAGAATCCTAATTCGCTGTTAAAAAGGGGAAATAAATTTTCTTAAAAAATATTGTTTACCATGATGTCCTATAAAATTAAATTAAAGAAATTATTAAACCGCTATGTAGGGGTTTTAACAAAGTATTTTCTAAACAAATCAGCTTATTCAAATTTAATCGATTGGTTTGCGAAATTGAACGAAACGTTGAGTTTGTAAATCTCGACAAAAAATGTTAGCGATAAATTCAACAATACTAAATACAGTGAGGATTTCAACACACTGACGCGTGTTGCAAATAATTCTAGTATATTATAATACAATAACTCTTCAGTTCAGAATAAAAAAAAACGCATTGGGCGCAAATAAATATCTTATGATACCAGACAGGTAAGAAAATAATAAAAAATAAAAGCAACGAATTAAACTAGTTTTGAATTAATTTCTCTTTTACACTTCTAATGTAGTATAAAAATAAAATTATTCTATTAATTTTAACTTTCATAAAATCGTATAAAAGTTATATTTTTAAACTATCGGTTATGTAAGATTAAAGGTAATTTGTTTTAAGCACAAACACTAACTTCTTGATACTTCATTTTCTTTAATTTTTTTAATTTTTCGCGCATTTTTGAAACCAAGGATGAAATTAGACAGCTACTGTTGTTGATCTATCACGCATAAATAAACGGTATTTTCATAATGTTTTAAGCAAAAAGTAAGCATTACTTTTACAAAATCCAGTTAAATAATTCTTAAATTTGCTAATTAGCATTGAAACACATCACAAATGTTTGGATTTTTATGGGATTTTTAAATTTGTTGTTCACGTTTTTCGTCTATTATGGCGGCACGATGATTGAACGTACCAACGTTTTAAAAATGCCTAAAATCTTTATTTACATACGGATTAGCATTATCTTTCAAATAAAACCAAAATTTAATTTCAGTGATGACATTTGAATTATTTAAATTGCGTTTATCGCGTTTTTAGGAAGTCCGTATCGGTACCTAATAATAAAAATATAAATCTATTCAAAATTCTTTCACACTTTTGAGTCTTAGTGGCTTTACTGCCTTGCATGGGGTGATACCGATTAAAAAACAAAAACAACAAAAAAAAAAAAACAACAAAAAACAAAAACAAATCATCAACTTCTTCAAATCAACGTCACTCCTACCACTGTAATTCGTTTACCAATTCGATTGTTATTTGTATATTGTGAGTTGATACGTTTGATATCTAGGCTTAAATGCGTTATCGTGTATAGTGAGTATCAGTTCATAAAGAGGAATCCATATTACTATTGTGATAAGTATCACGAAAATGCACGAGTATTTACTACCATGAAAGCAAGAGAAAAACTGTCACCACCCAGTTTAAAAAAAATTACCAAAAATCAGATACCAAATAACATAAGATATGATTTAAATAAAATGTTCAGTACTTATTCATTAATATTTCAAGAATTTTATGAGAAATGATTGTTATTTCAAAAAGGTTTCTAGAAATATTGGGGGGAGGGCTTAATTTCATCAACCCCAGCTTTTTCTTTTTAAATATTTTTTACCATCATAAAAGGAAACATTCCTAAAAATGTTATTTCCAGAGAAAAAGGAAATATTAACCGTGAGCACTGAAAATGTTTCTTGGAAGACCTACCATAAATACTTAAGTAAAACTAAAATGTTTTTTTTAAGAATTTGTTGGTTGCATAATTTAAAAAAAACATTATTCTTTTTCAGATTTGAAAAAAAAAAATACAAAAAAAAAAAACAAACTATAATAAATAAATATTTTTTTTTAAATTCACGCAGTTTTGAAATTCATCCAGTTGTTGTTCAAAAGGGATTTGTTTATGAAATTGAAAAATCGAAAAACTAATTGTAAAGTGTAATACCTTTTTATAGAGTGAACATTTTAATATTTTTCTTTTCATTTTTAAAATTATTACATTATTTTTTTACGGATGTTCAAATTTTTTTTTATGACATCAAATAGATAAGAAAAAAAATCAATGAGTATAAGTCAAAAGTATCATTTAACTATATTTTAACTGATTTCTTTTTTTATATTCCTATTGTATTATAAAAAATAAAATTATTATTTCTAATCAGCTTCATAAAAGCCTATAGAATAAAAAATAACCCATAAACTATTTGTTATAGAAGTTTAAAAATAATTTATATCTAAACAAGATTTTGTAGATCGAAGTAGTTTTGATTTTCTGTACTTAATTCAGTTTAACACATGTTTATAAAAATATGGATGACAGTAGAAAACTACTGTTGTTGATCTTGATGGTAGCTCACGGACTCTCTCTCTCTATATATATATCATGTTCCTTCACGACTTAGGCAGTCATGACTCTCCACTATTTCCTGTTCTTTGTAGTTCTTAATAAATGTTGTTTTTTGTTATTTCTCATAAACATTGTTCTTCCATCCATTTACTAAGTAGTTTACGTCTTATTTTACCCTGTCCCTCTTACCTTCAATCTGTCCTGTAAGTATCAGATTTTCCAAGTTCTCTTTCCTGATTATATGCCCTAGAAATTTCAACTCTCTGTTCTTGATGTTAAATATAAGTGTCCTTTTTGTTTCTGTTTTCTCTAAAACTTCATCTTTGGTCACATGTTTGGTCCATGAAATTCTCAGCGTCCTTCTGTAGAACCGCATTTATGCTGCTTCAAGTCTCTTCTTCATCTTTGAGGATATTGTCTAGCATTCGCAGCCATATAAGAGAACGAATATCACGTAACAGTTCATTATTCGTTTCTTTGTTTCTAACGACATGTTTCTGTTTCTTAATACTCAGCTTAGTTTTAGGAAGGAATGTTCCGCTATCCCAATGTGCCCTCGGATTTCAGTGATGCACTTTCCTTCCTTTGTTAAAACATTTTTCCGATATTTAAATTGTACTTATATGATTTTGGTATCTCCACTTTGTAATTGGTATGTTGGGCCGTCTCTTTTGCTAACAACCATGCATACTGTCTTATTTCCGTATCTACTATAAACAATGTGTCATCTGCATATCTTATGTTGTTAAGATTGTGGCCGCCAATAATGAATCCTGGTAGAATTTCTGTCTCCCTCAGTATCGCCTCACTGTATAGGTTGAATAAATCCGGCGAGAAGACACATCCTTGTCTTACACCTCTTTCTATTTATATATATCTTCTAAACACATTTTCTATCCGTATCCAGGCGGTATTATGTCTGTATAGGTTCTGGATCATTTCTTTTCCACATATGTCAAGGTTACTAAGTAATACCAACAGTTTTTTTGTGACAATACGTTGAAACATTGGTTCCCCTACGATTAAGCAACGTCGATCCTAGAATAGTGGCCGTTTGGGGATGCCAGATGCTGTAAACTTGGATGTGGGGTTGGTGATATGGATAATAGCTCAGAATCGTTAATCGTAAAGCAGAGTTCCAATTCCGATTGGGTCCGTTAAATTGACTTGTTTTATTTTGTAACTTGTGTTTATACATATAAGTAAAGTTGAGGTAAAACATCGTTAAGTTTTCAAATTTTAAATTTGAGAACGCTCTAAAATATTCTTCAAGCTCTTTGTGTAGGAAAAGACACTAATCAATGGAAGACACTAATTAATGGAAGACACTAATTAATGTAATGTATTGCCTAATAAACGAAAGTGAGTAAATGTTGTGGCTGAATTTTTATTTACAGAGTGCGGTGGATAAATTGTCGTCTAAATTACGCAAAAATGAAAACATTAACAACTCATTTTTACAAATACATTTACCAAAATTATATAGAAATATCTTGAAATACTACACAATAAATTTATTCAATAAAATCGCCGTTGGCTTTAACCACGGCCCCCAGACGACTTTAGAATCTTCCGCAACTCTTTTAGACGACCTCCTTTTTAAGTTGGTGAATGCTGCCATGATCCTTGTTAATCTTTGGTATGACAAGGGTTTTTTTTTTTATCTCTCGCTCAACTGTGCCCTAAACATAATAATCAAGGGGGTTGCTGTTTGGAGAGTTGTAAGGAGTGATGTGGTCGCAGCCATGACTGGGTTCCTCTGCTTGTGTGGTATGGTGCAGAGTCCTGTTGCCAAACATATGGTCTTTTAGCAACCACCTACTTGATCCAGGGCAGCACTACTTCCTCAAAGCACTCGATGTAGGCCCCTGTGTTGAGTCTGAGGCCCTCACCAACAAATTCGGGAGTTCTTTTCTTATCAGAATGATCAGAGTGAGTTTTACGAGCTACCGTGTCTTCATAATCGCCATTAAACTCATCCAACTCTTTCAGAATTCTCTGTACTGTCTTCAGGCTGACACTCAGACACAACGAAATGTTCATATTGAAGCTTCCCGCGCGAATGCCTAGCAAAACAGAACGCTGTTTTCAAATTTCTGTAGCAATGAATTGCGTCATAGCGCTCTTTTTCTCACAGACGGTGCCTGACTAGGATCACTACTATAATCTGCAGTCGACAAACTAAAAAACAAAACAAAAAACAAAACAAAACAACGCGCATTGGCGAATTTAAAAATATAAAATGGCGACAATTTACCCATCACATACTGAATTTATCAATGTAATTATTAATTATTATTTTTGTTTTATTTCATTTATTTATGTATTTATTTATTTTAAGTATTTAAACGTCTTGAGGTAACCGTTTTTTTTTAATTTTAACAATAATTTTTATAAGCAAAACTTTGGATTACAAATGAGTTAGCCTCTTAGTCCTGTTTTAGTTTGTCTTCTCTTAGAGTTTCTGGAATCTGGTTCATTCTAGAGCATTTTATCTAAACAATCAACATATTGACGCCCTATTAATATAACTGACTGTGGATAAACTGAACCTACGATAGCGTTTATTTAAGAAACAGAAAGAAACAACATATTACTTTTCCTAGACATTATGTTAAACACTACCGATAATGAACTAAAATACGTGTCCATTGTAAATCAAGTAATAAAAATGATCTCATAAATTTCTATTCTCCTCATAACAGCAAAATAAAATCCAGATCTTATTTGAAAGCATTCTAAATTTGTAGCCCGCAATATTTACATGATGAGGAGAAAATAAATTGAACATACTTTTAATCTTTTCAAATACATTAATCATTTCATATTCAATGCGAAACAGAAGGCTCATGAAATAGAAGAGTAGGCCATTCAGGCAAATCCAATGAATTACGAAATGTACGAAATTAATTTAATGCTTTAAGATGAACCGAAGAGGAACTAAATAAAATGGGGTTTCGCTGTTTAGTTGTCTGTTTCAAAATATAACTCAACACATATTCACGGTTAACATTTTCCGCTAACATGAAGTGAAAAGAACATATTGAATCAATTGCTAGGTTTGCTGCAGGAAAAGTTGGTTCACTGTATCGACCTAGATATATTTTCTCGACAGAATTTATCTTGCATATGTATAAATCTACTATTTGTCCATAAATTGAACATGAACTGGTCTGGCGCTTCTACCGTGTATTTAGAGATTCTTGCTAAAATCTAAACAGGGATCTGCAATATTATCAGTTTTGTCCTGGCAACTCGGATTTAGTCTCTTTAACACATCTTGTGCCTTTTCTATAAATATTGTTGTGGTAGGATCCACCTAATTTGCATAGTGGAGTACCGACCATATAAATATGGTTGGTACCGGGAAGAGGGAGGGGAATCAAGAGATTCAACCAGAGACTCTGCCCGACTGCACTCAGTCAACAAATTCTCCAGGAACGGTCTTACCAGGAATATACAAAAGACTATATGTAAATATTGTGTACACTTTCTTGTTCAATACATTTTGTTCTAAGTACATTTTGTGTTGCATTATTATTCCATGCATTAGTCAAGTTTCAACAAATATTTTTTATGATATTTGTTATGATGCACTGTTTTTTTTTGTGCTCTGACTTTACGAATTTAAGAGCAGTATTAGATTATCAGCTAGTTCTTATTATTTTACAGTTGAAATTCCTGGATGTAGGCGAAAGTTCTGTACTAATAGTTTCTTCTCTCGTACTTCATGCTTGTGGAACTCGTTTACGGTTTCTCATTTTTTATTCACCTTTAATCATTTCACCCCAGGCAAGGCAATAAAGCCAATGACTCGCAAGTAGTTACTAAGTGTGAGAGAATATGAGAAAAAGAAAACGCTATTAAGTAGAGAGAACAATAAAAGAACAGAAATTAAGAAGATATAAGAGAACGATTGCTATTGCATTTATTTGTTATTCAAAACATATAACGCATAAATCAATCATAATCCAAAATAATTTAAATAATAATTTACAACTATATACACGTAAAAAATTTACCCGCTTCAATTGTATCAGATCACGTCCATGAAATTGCCTGACTTTTCCGCTGACATAATGAATATTCATGAGTACTCCTATATAAAAAAAAACAAAAAACAAAACTTTGAAAAACCAATAACATTTTTGCTTTTGTATATAAATATTTGTCACAAAATAAAATCCTTACATGAATCCAATTCGTACTTTTATTGAACTCCTTGATGTTGACAAGCCCGTTCTGGGTGAAATGGCCATATATCATATGGGGTATTGAATTTTATTTACACACACACACACACACACACACACACACACACACACACACACACACACACACACACATATATATATATATATATATATATATATGATTCATTATGATTTGGGATGATTATATTGATGAGGAGTGCCTTTAACAATAATGGATTAATCGATCTGATTTACACTTCCATATACTAGCTTGCATAAATATGCACAAGTGCACACTGGTTTGCTTTGTTGCTTTATTTTTTCGCCTTTTCACGTTTAACTGTTTATTGCATCGAATCCAAATAGGGATTAAACAAAGAGTATAAGTAAATTCAGAGTGTAGCGGTTTATAAATTTATAATGTACTTCTAAAATATACTGATGACATTGAAGGAATAGACTTGAAGCAACAGAAATATGGTTCTACAGAAAGATACTGAGGATACTATGGATTAACATGTGAGCAACAACGAGGTTTTGGAGAGAATGGAAAGAAAAAAAAACCTATGCTTAACATAAGAAGCAGTTGAAATTTCTGGGGCACATAATGAGGAAGGAGGGGTTGTAAAATCCGATACTCACAAGACAGATAGAAGGAAAGAGAGAGACTGAGGAAAGCAGCACATAGCATACTTGATGAGCTTGAGCAAATGGATGGCAGAACAGGATTTAGGAGAAATTAACAAAATGTCAAAACTTATTAAGAGTTAAAAAAGACAGGAAGATGTGGAGGGCCATCATCGCTTATGTCCTGAAGGAACACAGCACATAAAACATCAGGACCGATAATATTGCTAATTCTTCTTTGGATCGTATCAAGCAGCTCAAGTTAAATAGCAGGGACACCGGACCATATGTGGCAGCAATATTCTAAACATGACCCAATGGTAGACTTATAGATATGTATCATAGATTATGGAGAGAAAAATTGTCTCATACAACACAGTGAACCAACTTTCTTTGCAGCTGACTTAGCAATAGATTTAATACAGTCATGTACACTTCATGCCAGATGTTCAATGAATTACTTAGGGGAGGAGAGAATAAAAAAGATGTAACGAAAAAAAAAAAAAAGATGAAATGGTGTCGTCACACCAAAAATCATTTAGCTAATTTGAGGGTGCTGAATCTGAAAATGATCTTACGTTTCGAGAAGTAGAAATATGATTTATTTAGTTTTTAGTTTCCTACTACAACACATTCATCACAATGGAGTAGCCAATCCCAGAATTCAAACACAGTTTCACTTGAATGCAAGTGTTCTAATCAAGATGGCGCCGAAGTCTGTTGATTTAACAAAAGAAAGAATAGAGTAAAAATGCTATCGAAAAGAAAAATAGAAGCATAAGTGTTGGAAAAAAGTTAAAAAATCAAAATTTGGCGCAGAAAAGAAAAGAAAGTGAAATATATGAGTGGAATATGAAATTAAGATATAAATGCAAAAAATATTATTCTTTTAAAATTAATAACGTGAACTAGAATCGAGGGAATAATAAAAAGAATAGAGAACTAATTTAAGAAGCGACCATCGTTAAGCCTAACATTGCTTGCTGCCATTGACCACCTGAGACCAAAACAAAGAAATAAAGAATCTTTTTTCTGATACGCAGGTTTTGCAATTTTCTCCAAAAAATAAAAAAAAAGTATAAATAATAATAATAAAAAATACACAAAAACTAAAATCTTGACATCCAAGGAAAAAAAACGAAGACATAATTATAGGCTTACGACCACATCAAGTTGAAAAACTGGTTCCCATAGGATCACTGAAGTTAAACAACGTCGAAACTGGTCAGTATCTAGATGGGTGTTTGTTTGGGAATACCAGGTGCTGTAAGCTTGGGTGTGTGGGTGGTATAATGGATAATGGCTTGAAATAGTTAATCGGAGAGCCAAGTTCCAATTCCCCTTGGGTTCGTTATATTCGCACAAATACTATTGAGAAAGTCATGAATCCACCTATTCTCCCCTTGCTATGGGTTAATTAGTAAGACATTGTATCACTAAAATATTATTATCTGAAATAATCTTATACTCTAAAAATAATTTCTGGCTTTAAATAATATGCAAATCGCTGATAAGCCGTAGAAAACGAATCAATCATATTTATAATAACTCTATCGATGATCCCTACACTCACGCACTACTTTATATTGATACAAACGTATTGGGCTGGACACTTCGATGTGGTGTAATGGTTAGCAAGCTTGTCTCACAAAATTAATTATGTATGAGTAGGTTCGACAAAGTACGCCAGAAGGATCTGTTGGAACTGCTCATCAACATTGATATATTCGGGAAAGATATCAGAATAATCAAGAACCTATACTGGCAGCAAACAGAATCCATGCGCGTAGCGAACGAGTTCAGCGAATATACAAAAATAGAAAGGGGCATAAGGAAAGGATGCGTCTTCTCACCCGACTTGTTCAACCTATACAGCGAGGCAATTCCGAGAGAACTGGAAACCCTACCGGGATTTAGCATTGGCGGCTACAATCTTAACAATATAAGATACGCAGATGACACAGTACTGATAGCAGACAAGGAAAAAATTACAAAATCTCTGACAGATGGTAGCGACGGAGAGTGTGAAGAAGGAACTAAGCATAAACTACAAGAAAACAGAATGCATGGTCATCAGTAAAAGGATGATTCCGAAATGCGATTTGCCAGTCGGGAACATTAGAATCAAGCAAACGCCGAAGTCTGGGAAGCGTTTTGACAGAGGACGCTAAGTGCGACACTGAGATCCTTAAACGGCCAAGGACGCATTCCAAAAGCTGGGCAGAGTATTGCGAGGCAGGAGGATTTCTTTGGTAACAAAGAAAAGAATACTGAACTGTTACGTAACATCTGTCCTCCTTTACGGTAGCGAATGTTGGGCGATTTCCTCAAAGATGAAGAAGAAACACGAGGTGACAGAATGTGATTCTATAGAAGGATGCTGAGAATATCATGGACCGAGCGTGTGAGCAACGATAAGGTCTTAGAGAGGATGCAAACAAGGAGGAGGCTTATACTTAACATCAGGAAGAGGCAGCTGAAGTTCATGAGACACATAATGAGGAAGGAGGACTTGGAGAATCTGATACTCATGGGTCCAATTGAGGGAAAGCGAGACAAGAGAAAACAACGCGTGACATACCTAAGGGATTTAAGCAAGTGGATGACAGAATATGATCTTTTAGCAGAGGAAAGAGACTTGTTGAGAGTGTCAAGTGTTAGAGGGAGATGGAGAGCCATGGCCGCCTACGAAAGGACACGGCACATAGAAAGAAAGAAAAAAGTTTCGACCTTGTGTCAGATTTAAGCTACACTTAGTAAATCACTATAAGTATATTGGATTGGAACAAAAGTTAAAATTTTTCAATAGGTTGTGATTTCGTTTCACATGTGACTGAAATTTATGACATAGATATACCAAAAGTGGCATTTCAACGTGTCTTTCTATACGATTTGTTTGTGGATAGTGAATTTTAAGTTCTTTTGCGTTAAAAGTGAAAATTGAAGAAAATGAGTCATTTTTCAAATGAAAGATCATATATGATGAAAAAGGATTGTTTATAAGAATTTGCAGTGAAAATTGTTTTAGGGAGAACGAAATGAGCCACCCTAAACCACTCCAAATCCGGCCTATATCGAAAGAAGGCGGTGCTGTGTGTCTGGTGGAATTGCAAGGGTCTTATTTATTATGAGTACCTTTGTCTAAATCAGGTGAGTACTGTTCCCAATTTTACCAATTAAAGGTAGTAATCGATAAACAAAGCGTTCAGAATTTGCCAGTCACCAAGTGTTCCGTCTTCAGGAAAACGACAGGCCTTACGTTTCTTTGCAAGCCCGACAGAAATTGGTATAGCTTGGCTGGGATGTCGTATTACGCTCACCTTAAATACCTGACCTTGCATCTTCGGATTACTGGTTATTTCCATCCATGCACAATCCTCGTGGATAGAACGTTACTTCTCGGGAAGCCTGTAAAAATACCCAAGATCAGTTCATCACCCATGAATGTACCAAATTCTGGGTGGATGGAATGATGAAGCTGCCTCACAGATGGTGAAAAGCGGTAGAACAAAACAGCACATATGTCGTTGAAGAAATCTAACTATTGTTTTTGAAATTCACTTACAAACGCTAAAAACTTTTGTTCCAACACAATATCGAAACTATGGGAGCAACACGCATCTCCGTTGACAACAGCATTGTAATAGTCTTTTCAACTGTGTATTATTCGCTTGTCAAGAGTTCAAGGTATGTTATAACAGTAAACAATTCTTAAGATGATCTATTTAAAAGTAAGTTTAATTAAATTTGCTCTACATAACGTCGTATAAACAATCTAAATGTATCACTAAGAAAATGTCCATTTCACAAATCTTTGTTGTGAACGAAAGATGTATTATTGTATTAAAGATGTATTACATGTATTATTTACGCGAAAGATGTATTACATGTATTATTTACGCGAAAGATGTATTACATGTATTATTTACGCGAAAGATGTATTACATGTATTATTTACGCGAAAGATGTATTACATGTATTATTTACGCGCGTCAAGGGCACTTTGTAGCGTAAAGGAAGAACAAAGTAAGTTGCATTTGGTTATGGTCAGTTTCTAATGAAATAGCCCATCATCACCAAGCAGACCGTGACAGTCTATACTATAAATGAAATACTTCCAAGAATTGTTGAACATTTAACAAGTTTGGAGGAAAAACTAAGTTCTTATTTTCCATCACTTAACACTGAACAATACGATTGGATTAGAAAGCCATTCGTGGAAACTTCAAGTGATTTTGATTTAACATTAACTGAAGAAGAAGAACTGGCAGCTATATACCCTGATCGTGGGTTGATGATTAAGCATATGAATGATTAAGCATATGAATTGTCTCAAGCTTTTTGGATTTCTATAAAGGAAGAATATGTATCAATGTCTAAAAAACGCTCTGACTATTTTACAGTTTGCAACATCATATTTATGTGAATTAGGTTTTTCTGCTTTCACCACAATTAAGTGCAAAAAAGAGGAACCCTTCAATGTATTGACGAGGAAATGAGAATTTGGCTATCAAATATCCTCCTAAACATTGAATAAATCGCTAAGACTCAGCAGGCTAATGTTTCTCATAAAGACATGAATAAACTTAAGGTATGTGTCATTTTATATTTCTTATTGCATAATTTCTTTTCTGTAATATTTGACTTAATTAGGACATATTTTTCAGAAATTTGTATATAGTGTGTCTACAATTATTGGTAGGATTTCAAGTGTGCCCCGAATTCAAAAATTTTGAGAACCACTGCAATGATAAAGGTGTTCTCTCAAAGATGACCCTTACCATGAACGCTTATTAGGATTTACGCTCACTCGGACCTCAAGTGGAACTCAAATATACGATCCATCGTTAAAGGTGCCGGAAAATAGTCGTTTCCCAGTACCGTTCCTGTTACCCTGTACCTTTACATGAGCCAGGTTATACCGCGTACTGTTATTATATCTGGGCTGGAACTGCTCAGTGTTAGCTTTCCAGCTTGGATAGAATCCAGAAACGTCTACTCAACCTTGCAGGTGATACATAATCCTATCTACAATCACTTTCCCACAGACGAAACGCTGCAACCCTCTTGCTACCCTACCGTTATTTTCTTGGAAAATCTTCAAATGGGCTACATTTCTTAGTTTTATCTACTATAACCCTCACAGTTAAGACGAGCCACGCCGCGTACACTGAGGCGAACCACCCTTATTCCCTTCGTATTCCATTAGTGAGATATCCAAACAGCTTCTTCCCATGAACGGCCACTTTATGGAACTGACTCCCAATGGGGATGCTTTCCTGACTACCACAATCTTAACCAGCTCATGTCTAGAATTAACCGTTAACTTTCACACATATTCCCATAGACAACGCCTCTTACCGCTTACTCTTATCGTTCATCCAACAAACACCGTCAGTAACTCTTTATCTCGAGCAGCTTTTGTGCCATATATAGGGTCAGTTAGTTATGTGCCATGCGTGATACACGCTTAGACCATCATGTATCTTTCGATACATGACTGACGAAGCAAATTCTTTCCCGCAGTAAGTTACCATTTCTTTCTGCAGTAGACCAATTGCCATCTAAGGTTATAGAAACCGGTCTGTCCTGCTATTTACCTATATCTGGAGGGAGAAGAAGAGGATTCATACCTTTCCCAAATGTATTAGCATATAGGGTGAACGTTAGTAAAATAAAATAAAAACAAAAAAATGTGAAAAGTAGAAAATATATTTTGGGTGTAAAACGGTTCTGTTACTATTTTTCCATGGCATATAAATATTTTTTTTCCTGACGTTAATAATAAGAGAAAAACTGCTGTCTTACATGGAACGGTTTCAAACGGTGATTGTTACTGTTAAAGATAAATCCATATAATAAAAAGCAGTTTGATACTTTTTTATCCGTGGGAAACAAGGATTTTTCCTTGTCTAAGTCTTCAATCGGCTTAGATGCGAACTCTGCTGTATGGGATGTGCATTGCCATGTTGGAGCACCTCATCTTCGCAATTGATCAAATTGAATCTATTTTCTTTCAAAGCAGTGTTTAAAACACTATCATAGACAAAAAACGTCTGCAGGAATTTAGCATCGACTGATAGCAACTCGAATTGGAACGCATTGACACAATAAAACATGCACTTGCCAAAACCTTTGGATAGCGGTCAATTTATGGTTTTGCTTTAACCTGTTAACGTTTGTTACGCTACAATATGCTTTAGTTTATGTCCTTGTAAAATATCCATTATTAAAGTATAAGTGTCCTTTTTGTTATCCATTTTCCTTAAAA